CCCTCCCCCTTCTTCTGTCTCCTCATAGCGGCCGGGATTGCCCACGGTCTGCGGTGTCATCGTTCAGTTCACACACACGACACCCTCTGATTGTACAACCATGACTCCTGACCGTACACTATACCAGGGGTAGCCAAACTCCAGCCCTCCATCTGTGGTGGAACTACAAATCCCATGAGGCATTGCAAGATTCTCACAGACCTGTCTCCCGGACAGAGATGCATCATGGGATTTGTAGTTCCACCACAGCTGGAGGGCCTGAGTTTGACTACTCCTGCACTATACAATCTCATTGCACAATCACCTTTAGATCTGCCACCAGCTTTGTAGTGCAAGGGCCGGCCAGTGGACCCGGGAAGAAAGTCTGCTGGAGTCTCAGGCAATGGCATTAGCAGCCCTGGAGGCTTCTGGGACTTATGTCATCTGGCGACAATAACACATACGCTGCACATGGGCAGTGCTCTGAACCCGCTCAGTGAACATACCTTCTCTGTTGGGTCGCCTCACACTGTGCGTCTTTGAGGAGGAGTCGGTTGGACCACTTGGTATTCATTGCTGTGGGGGACTCGGAAGCTCTGCAATCGATACTCGCCCCCCTCCTTTCCCTCTTCTGAGGATCGCTGTCCTCCCACCAGGACCCACTTGCCTGCTGAAACTCTGCAGGTGATCCCTTGACCAGTGACGAGAGACATCTTGCTGGTTTGGCCAGCGATGGAGCGTGATACCCCCTATGAAACCTGACAGATTTCAGGGAAACGAGGACGATATCCACATTTCTAATGTTAAATATCATTCTGCTCTGTTCCCGCAGATCCCCTTCCAGATCCTGAGAGGACACGGAGGTGCGGTGAGCAGCTGTCACTTCTGCTGCCAGGATACAAAACTTCTAACGTGCTCACATGACCAAACCGCAAAACTCTGGGTAAGTCCTCCCCCTGCGGACGCAGCCATCTCCGGCTTTACCAATTTCTGAGCCAATCAGCCCAAACAGGCATGAAGCAAGTGTAGTCAGCAGGAGCTCCTCCTCTGCATGCTCTTTCTCAGCCACTGACAATGGTTTGAAGCCAGAGGATTAGCATGACAGCTAGGGAACAAGGCTTTGCAGAAGGAGAAGATCGCAGTGGCAGCCTGATGGTTACTCTAGTTTGATCCAAAGTCATGATAACTGGTCATAGAATACTGACGGTTCGGGTTGGGTGTGTCGGGTCCGGGGTTCAGTGGCTGCTCTCGCCGAGGCTTCTGATAATTATTTTGAGTTCTGTCATTTTATTTGTTGTTATTGTTGTCGTTTCTTATTGCATCTCATTCAATAAAGAGTGAAGGTCTCCTTTAAATATGTACAGCATCACGTATTTCCAATGGTACAGTAATATTAATAATGGTGATTTTGTTTTCTAGGATCTTTCTACCAACACTTCCATCCGTGACTATGGAGGAGAGCACACGGCTCCTATTTCACAGTGCAGCCCAACACGAGATGACAGAAGGTGAGCTACGTGTCGTGAAGCAAATTGTATATCCTTCTGTCCACTTTGGCGGCTCTGCATCCCATGAAGATCTCTTGGCTGCCTTCTGTCCCTTTTGGTGGCTCTGCGTTCCCTGTAGATCTCCTGTCCCTTTTGGTGGCTCTGCAACCCCTGTAGATCTCCTGTCCCTTTTGGTGACTCTGCGCCCCCTTTAGATGTTCTGTCCCTTTTGGTGACTCTACGCCCCCTGTAGATGTCCTGTCCCTTTTGGTGGCTCTGCACCCCATGTAGATGTCCTGTCCCTTTTGGTGACTCTGCGCCCCCTGTAGATGTCCTGTCCCTTTTGGTGACTCTACGCCCCCTGTAGATGTCCTGTCCCTTTTGGTGGCTCTGCGTTCCCTGTAGATCTCCTGTCCCTTTTGGTGACTCTACGCCCCCTGTAGATCTCCTGTCCCCTTTGGTGGCTCTGCAACCCCTGTAGATCTCCTGTCCCTTTTGGTGACTCTGCGCCCCCTGTAGATGTCCTGTCCCTTTTGGTGACTCTACGCCCCCTGTAGATGTCCTGTCCCTTTTGGTGGCTCTGCACCCCATGTAGATGTCCTGTCCCTTTTGGTGACTCTGCGCCCCCTGTAGATGTCCTGTCCCTTTTGGTGACTCTACGCCCCCTGTAGATGTCCTGTCCCTTTTGGTGGCTCTGCG